GAGATCAAAAAGACAAATAAGCATTTTAAAGATCCTCAACCCCATCAATAATCAGAAAGATGCAATTTAAACTGTGATGTTATAACAACACAAACTAGTCAGAAAGGCTAAAATTATAAAATCTATAACAAATGTTGGTGAAGATTTAGAACACGTGAACTCTCATACATGCCAGTAGTAGTATCAATTGATACAACTCTGAAGAATATTTACATATTTCCAACACAGAAATTTCACTTAAATGCTTACCCAAAGAAACCTTTAAGAATTGTCAAAATAGTGTTAGCTGCAACTGCTCCTAAATCATTGGAATGGAAAAAAAAAATTAATTGTGTTCTATGGTCTATTTGGAGTCTTGGTGTGGTGCCATAGGTAAGAACTTGACCTTAAGAAACTGTATACAGGGTCACTATGAGTTAGAGCTGACTTGACGACACTTAACAACAGCAGCATGGTCTGTGTATAAAATATAACAAAATACTTTAATGGAAAGAAAAAAAAAACATAAAAATTTATTGCTAGATATAACATATATGAATCAATCAAATATAATTTGAACAAACAAGCCAAACACAGAAGAGAGTGTTTATATATGAATCCTTTTTTAAAAAGTTTAAAGATAGGCAAAGCTAATACATGTTTATTACATTCAGGATGGTGGTATCTTTAGGGAGATGGAAACAGGCAATATTTGGAAACAGGCATAGCTGAGGATTCTAAAGAATTAGAAATGTCCTTTTATTTGATATTAATTATAGTCATGTGGGTTCAAAATAACTTACTGAGCCATTTAGGATTTGTGTTCTTTTCAGTATATATGCATTCCTTCAATGAAAAATATTATCTTTTCTTTAGCTCCTATCCCCACGGTCTGATCACAGGATTCCAATATTTCTAAAATTAGTTTCCTACTCTTCATGACTCTTTTTGTCCCATCTCAAGATCATTTTCAGTTCCATCTATACTTCATTTCTGAAATTTTCCTCTCTTTAATCTCACATAGCCAATCCTAAGATTGACTCTTTTATATTCTATTTTTCTAAACTGTCCTATCATTTTGTTGATTGTCACTTAATTTTCTCTCTGCCTCTCTCTTCAGTCTTATCTCCATAGACCATTCAGGAAATCTATGTAGGTCACAGTTTAAAGAGGAACTTCCATCAAGTCAATCTTTATTGACTGCAGGAGCATAACCATTTGTGAGGAATTTATGTTAATGGATAAATTCAAGTCTGCAATATGCCCCTTCCCATTTTAGTCCTATAGTATCTAACACTGTGGCAACATTTAGGTTGTAATTTCTCCTTCCTGTCTTATTTTACATAACTGAGAGTTCCATGAGAGTTTCATTTGGGGGGCACTTAATGTTTATATGGAGTCCTAAAGTGACACAGTCGCTTAATGCATTGGATAGCAAGTTCAATTTGAACCACAAGGTCAGCAGTACAAACTCACCAGCTGCTCCTCAGAAATCCTATATGAAGTCTCTATGAGTCAGAACCAACTAGATGGCATTTAGTAACAGCAATGTATAAACATATGTTGTTGATAGGTGCTGTCAGTTGGTTCTCCCTCCTAATGACCTACACACAGCAGAATGAAACACTGTCTACTCCTGCACCATCCTCATAACTGCTTTCATGTTTCAGGCATTGTTACTGCCACTATGTCAACCCATCTCATTGGGGTCTTCCTCTTTTTTCTTGGCTCTCCACTTTTCCAAATATGATATCCTTCTCTAGGGACTGGTCCATCTAAAAACATGTCAAAAATAAGATTGAGGAAGACTCCTTGTTAAAAACATTCTGGTTGTACATCTTCCAAGACAATTGTGTTTGTTCACTGTCAGTCCATGGTACTTTTAATATTCTCCTCCAATACCACAATTCAAATGCAATGATTCTTCTCTGGTCTTCTTTACTCATTGTCCAACTGAGGCCATTGAAAATACCATGACTTGGTTCAGACACACCTTAATCCTTAAACTGACATCTTTGTCCTTTAACACTTTAAAGAGGTCTTTTGTAACAAATTTGCTAATGCAATACATCATTTGATTAATTGGTTGCTGCTTCCATGAGCACTGATTGTAGATTCAACAAAATGAAGGCATGCAACTTTATGCCTCATAACAAACTCCGGATAACATTATGAATAATGAATATTCTAGAACACTTATTTGTGCTCATGAGGAACCTATACACTAACAAAGAGGCAGTCATTTGAACAGAACAAGCAGAAATTGAACGCCTGAAAATCAGGAAAAGTGTACTCCAGATCTGTATACTTTCACTGTATTTATTCAATCAATATGTTGTTTTTGTTGTTAAGTGCCAGTGAGTTGGTTCCAACACATGGCAACTCTGTGTAGGATTTCCAAGGAGTGGCTTGTGAGTTTGAACTGCAGACCCTATGGTTCAAACAGACCTTGCGGTCCAGTGCTTTTATTCCATAGCCATCTGAATGCTGAGCAGATAATCTGAGAAACTGGATTACATGAAGAAGAACATGGTATCAGGATTGGAGGAAGACTCACTAGCAATCTAAGATATGTAGATGATACAACCTTACTTGATGCAAGTGAAGAAGACTTACAATGCTCACTGACAAAGATGAAAGACCACAGCTTTCAGTAGGGATTGCATCTCAGTGTAAAGAAAACAAAAATCCTCATAACTGGATCAATAAATAGCATCATGATAAATGGAGAAATGACTGAAGTTGTCAAAGATTCATTTTGTTTGTACATATATGTTGTTGTTAATTGCCGCCAAGTCAGTTATGCCTCATAGTGACCATGTATAGGGTTTCTGAGGAGCTGCTGGTGGATTTGAACCATCGACCTTGCAGTCTAGTGTCTAACCTACAGTGCAACACCATACATGTTTAGTGAAAGAAAGTCAGCACAACATTAAGAAAATGGTTTTAGCAGACCAAAGCAGCCACAACAAAAGGGAATTACATATATCCTCTAAATAGACAGATTGTGTTCTCTTTTTAAAAGAGGAAATAAAATAGTATTTCTAAGCCATTTTCCAAAATTTCAGATTCTTTGAGGTCAGTAGCAGAGGGGAACTATCACTTAAGGTCTAAATATATGTCATTCCACTAGATGTTTTTATACTCTTCATTCTCACACTGAATTTATGAGATGGTTACTGCTACCCCCAATTAGCAGAATCAATAACAGAGACTCATAAAAGTTAATTAACTTGCCCAAAACAATATAGTAACTGAATGGTCGAACCCAAATTTGAGCTTCAGACTGGGTGATTCCAAAACCTATAGTCATTCTTCTGTATCTTGTAGCTTCATTTCTATGAAATTTAACTAGACATTCATGTATACTAAGGGGAACAGGAGCTGTTTATTACTAATTTAATCTAAAACTTTTGATTTTTTTTATAGGTCCTCCTTTATTTTTGTGCTTAACAATTAATATCTAAATTAAGAGGACTTTATATCTTTTGTAATGCCCCACTTTTACAGTCTCAAACCAATAAAACACCAGTCTCAAACCAATTGGAAGTTACGACTGGAAATTCCTAGAACCTGCTGGTAACATTGCTAAATTTCTTTTCATTAATTCCACTCATTAGCTTCAATAACTGAATATATTAGCTAGACCTCACACATATATTAATCCCACAATTTATTAAAGTTAAGAATAAAATTTGATTGTCACCTTTCTAAATTGATTGCTGAATCAAATAGAATTGCTATTTAAGAATTTTAAATATAAATCATTACTATTAAATGTTGTTCATCAGATTTCTTTCTTTAGCCAAACAACTATGAAGAGCACTTTCTACAAAAACTGTAAACAAATATACATGGATTCAAAATGATAATTTCCATATGAATTAGTAATATATGGAGAAACATTTGGGTAGTATGCAGTAGAATAATTTCTCAAGATTTTTAACATAGATAAGATAGAGCAAAAGAACAAAGTGACTTTCTTTTTTTTTCAAAGTAACTTGCATAAAACCTCATCTACTGATAACATTTCCTTAGGAATCTTTCCTCTATTAGGTTGTTGTTGTTGTTATGTACCGTGGAGTCGTTTCCGACCTTGTGACCCTGTACAGGGTTTCTGAGGCTGTAAATCTTTACAGAAGTAGAAAGCCTCATCTTTCTCCCGCAGAACAGCTGGTAGTTTCAAACTGCTGACCCTGAGGCTCGCAGCCCAATTCGTAACTACTACGCTACCAGAGCTCCATTAGGTACCTAGGATTAAATAAGAACTGAAATCTATTCAGAATGAGTTACACTGTAACAAAATACAAGAGGTGAGTCTCTTGCAGTTCTAGCATGAGGCAAATATCCTGTTTTCTGCCTGCCTTCTGCTGACTGGGCAACAGAACACTAATGACATCATTTGCAACATGTGTGTTTACCTGTCCTGCAAAACAAGGAGCAGAGCTGCAAGTAAGGAGACCACAGGAGTGTCATAAAATGATTTAAATCGATATGGTGTGGCATTGTAGGGTAAGCACTGGGCTTCTAATTACAAGGCTAGCAGTTCAAACCCAGCAGCCCCTCATCAGAAACCCAATATGGGGCTGCTATGAGTTGGAACTGACTTGACGGCACTTAACAACAGCAAAGCAAAGAAGCAAACAATTGTGTGGGTAATAAGTGTGTGTGCATGATGGCTTTTTTTTTTTAACTCTTAAAATAACTTTGTCATTGTTAATTGCCATAAAATTTCTTCTGACTCATGGTGACCCCCATCTGTGCAGATGGAACTGTTCCACAGAGTTCCAAAGGCATGACCTACCAGAAGCACATCACCAGGTCTGTTTCTCAAGGTACCTCTGGGTGGGTTCAAACTGCCAAGCTTTCAGGTAGTAAAGTGCTTCATAGTTTGTGTCACCCAGGGACTCCAAAATAGTTTTAGATATGTATAAATAAACAAAGGTACTTTACTAGACTCAACATTATGATACTGCTTAGTATTAAGTAAGGTAGGGGGGAGAAGGGAATGATGTACATACCTTTGCTTGTCCAGCTTTTGTGATTGCAGGTATATTAAAGAATTGGCCAGTATAAAAATGTACCCCAGTGAAAAGGATCACTGCAATTGAATCTCCTTCCTTTTCAATTACTTCTAGGATATCCTCCGTTCTCAAGATTTCTTCCCCCTAAGATAGAATTAGGAAACATTATATTATATCTATATTTGTCACTTCATATTTTCAATCTAGATTTCATCAAGAGGTCATATTATCAAAAGAAAAACTAAAGATATTTTTCTTTACTTATTTCAGACTAATATCTTTAAAAATTTGGCAAATGAGAAGCATTTAAGTATGATTTTCATTATCATTAAGAAATTAGAATAGTAAAAATAAGGTTTCAAGGTTTAAATCATTGCCAAAGTCTACTTATTGATTTGGTATCTGCATTTTCAATTAGGCTGTGCTATTTTCACACTTATAAATTATTTCATCCTTATTCCAATCCAATAAAACACCAGAATCTGCAAAAAGTTCAAGATATTTAAACCATAGTCCTAGGGATCATCAAGGTCAATTAGCATAACATAGGCCAGAAAGACAATGTTTTATAATCTGCTCCAGTGAGTAGTGACTGGGATCTTAAAACATTGAAGTGGCCATCTATGATGCAACTATTGGTCTCATTCCATTAGGAGCAATGAACAGTGAAGAAAATTAAAGATGCATATAAACAATTAGTACAAAGGACCAGGTGAACCTCAGCCTCCATGACCATGAAAACAGAAGAAACAGATTCTGCACAGGTACTACTATTATCCACATAATAGAGGGTCCAGGATAGAGTGGGAGAAAAATGTGGAAACAAATTCAAAATCATAAAAAAATAAGACAAGGCTTACTAGTCTAACAGAGACTGGTGGAACTCCAGAGACTATGGCCCTGAGTCAATCTTCAGCTCTGAAACTGAACTTACCCCATGGCTCAATTCTTATCCAAAAAATAGACAGGTATGCGAACAAAAACATCATGAGATACACACTCCTTAGAACAAACATAGCAGATCCAAAGGGCAGCATTTGCCCAGGGATAAAGCTCAGAATGATAAGAATGGAAAAAAAGACAATTGGAAATGGTAAACACAGGAGGGAAGTTGGAAAAGTATTATTACATTGTGGGGCAATGTGTCATGAAACAAACATGTAATAGGTGTCATGAAAGAAAATGTGTATGAACAGTTGACTTGAAAGACAATTTGCTCTGTAAAGCTTCACTCATACCACAATAAAAAGTCTCCATACACACCACCCCCAAATTTAAGAAGAAAAAAAAAAAATAATGTTAAAATTTAGTATTTCACTTATACAACCAACAACATCATGCTATTTTTTCCAGGAGAAAAACAGTTATTGTAAATCTTTCATCTGCATATTACCCAAACAACTGAAGAAGTAAAATCCACCCCAAACCAATCTAAAAACCAAGATTTAAAGATGAACAGAAATGTCAACAAAACCTTGTAAGATCAACGATTTATCCCATATTCCCTACCTCAGTCAAATTGTGAATGCATTTAGCTTTGATCTCAAAAACTTCTTGAGCTTAAAGGAATCAGCTGAATAGAAAGTACTTGCTTTTATCATAACAAATATGATCTATTTTTGAAGTCTTCTTAGATTTTTTTCAGTGCTAAAACATGATTCTGAGGTCAAGTATCACTAATTGCATTAATATTTGAAGTATCATTTAGGTAATCATGAATTTTCTTTCAACTATTTATGATTTATTTTAAGTCCTGTACTTGTCCATTACTATACTCATTAAGAACATAAAGAAAGAAATATAATGCACACCTTAGTTTCTACTAGAAGACTGGCACTTGTTTATAAAATGGGCTGTGGGCTTCACTTCAGTTGGGCATCAAAACAAGATTGTTACTGAAATATCTGAATTATTAAGTAGATTATTACATATAAAGCAAAGGACTGGGTAGATAAATGCATAGGTACATGCATGTGTGTGTATGAAAATATGATAAATTGATAATGTGGAAATCCCAAATATTTTTTCTTATAAGAATTGAATAAAATTTGTCTACCATAATTTTAAACAAAAATACAAGTAATATATTATGTGCTAATACTTTAAATATCTAAAGAATTGGTGGTGGTGGTGGTGGTTATGTGCCATGAAGTCAGTTCCAACTCATAGAAACCCTGTATAGGGTTTCCGAGGCTATAAATCTTTATGGCAGCAGAAAGCCTCATCCTTCTTCCATGGAGCAGTTGGTAGATTTAAACTTGTGGGTAGTAGCTAAGCTTGTAATCCACTAAGCAAATAAGAAATATATTTTTCAATTGTAGGAATTGACCCTCTCTCATGTTGACTTGCACTAAAATAGTAATGTTTTGATGAACCTCGAAAACTTGCTCTGAGCTAATCTCTAAACCTTAAACCAAGGTATCCCTTAAAGTCTTTTTAAACCAAATAACAAATTAGCTTAACTAGTAAGAAAATGTTGGCCTTTAGCATTACATTCTTTTAAGAATCTTCTATAGAATAAAATTAACAATAGTATCTAGAAAGATTGGATAGAAAAAATAATTAGGAATCTTAGAGGGCAGTGAGCTTATATCAATGGAAGAAAAACAACTCAGAGACGTATACTGAGAATGGGTACATAACTTAAAGACTATAACCAATGTCACTGAACTGCACTAAGAGAAACTGGAATTGGTGCATGTTTTTACAACAAAAACAAAATAAATAACATTTTAAAACAAAACGAAGTGATAATGACAAAATGTCAAACAAGATTATGATTAATCTTGATGATCCACTACACTGCTCACATGAACACTGATGATATATTAGTGGCTTTTGTCATTTATGGGTCCTGGGTCCTAGTGTAGCACTGTAGGATAAACACTGGACTATAAACAACAAGGTCAGTGGTTCAAACCCACCAGTCATGCCTCAGAAACCTTATATAGGGCTAAGGAGCTCTGGTAGTGTAGTGGTTACTAATGGGGTTGAGAACAGCAAGGTCAGCATTTCGAAACTACCAGCTGTTCCGCGGGAGAAAGATGAGGCTTTCTGATCCCATAAAGATTTATAGCCTCGGAAACCCTGTACAGGGTCGCTAAGGGTCGGAACTGACTCCACGGCACACAACCACCACCACCATGTCTTAACAGATTAGTAATTTGCAGATGACATATGAAATGGATATCCTTTTACCAGTGTGAGAACTTTATATTCTATTAATTTATTGTATGTTGGCAAAGAGAGTAGAGTAGGTGCCTAATTTCTTGAAAGTAATTCTAGGTTGAAGGAAATAATTGTTCAAACATTGGTTTAATAGTCTGGGAGCATCATATTTTAAACCTAAAATTTATTCTGATTCTCTCAGTGCCAAATTATTCAAACTGCTGGGTTTATATGTCAAAGTCTGCCCTTATATCTCTATTAATGTGGAGGGCCCAGTAGTATAGATTTTGAACATCTGGTGGTCAAACCTGATTATATGAATCCTTTGCTACCTGTTTTAACATAAAGGAGTCTCCAATAAAAATTTTTTCTCAATGTCATGTGCCCAGTAAGTGCTAGGTCTAGGATAGCACTGGGGTAAACCAAACAGGCTGAAAAGCATAAGGTCTTTCCAGTATACCATGTGATTTTCTACACCCTGGTTAACGCACTTAGGTTAAGAAGAAACATAAGGATCGTCATCATTCATAGCAACTGGAATATTCAACACAAATCACTGACATTCAGCATGATTTCATTGGTATACACAGGCAACAGCATCTGAATTTGAAAATGCTATATCTAATTTGCCATCTCCCTTCCCAATAAAGTATATGGCAGACTCTAATGATACTAACAGGAAAAGGGTTTGCCTGCCATATGCCTATCTCCTGGAAACTGAGTAAAAAACACTTCTGTGTTAATTCTCTATTTTAAGCAAATTACCTAACGGTAACAGAAGTTTGGGTCTTTTATATATTTTTTTAAAGTTCCATTAAAATAATGAGAAACAAACTTTTGAGGGAAAGTGAAGAAAAAAATCAATAGTAAATAAAGGAATGATGAATATTTATTTCTCTTTCTCATATACCTCTCTTGGCTTTATAATCAGCATACTCTTCTCCACATTAAGTCCGTGAAGTTGAAGCTGTGACTCAATCGCATACTGAAAAAGAAGGGTGATGTATTTCATCAAATCTAATACACAGAAATACATCAAAATAACAACTTTGAAAATAAATTAACAACATGACAAAAGTATAGTATTATATTAAGTCCAAAGTCAAAGTAACTAAACAGAATGTTTCAGAAAAGAGCCACTTAATGTAAATTATATGCAAATCTGAACACTCTTGGAAACATTGATTAATCCATTGACTGATAGAATTTAATGAAAAGTTAGGGGTCATTTAGAGGTTAAGGGTTAAAAGAGATTTTTAGAATAAGTTATTTAGTTACCTTATTTAAGTCAAAATAATGTTTATAAAATAACAAAATATGTAGTATTGGCTTGTTATGTATGAACACAGGGCCTAGGAAGAGTAAGTTATGAAAAGGAAAAGTCAATGAGAGTTTATTTCAAGCTTCTGTTGATGCCATGGAAAAATTTGGAAACAGATGTGGTGATGGTTGTAGAATATGATGATCATAATTGATGCCACTGAATTATATATGTAAACATGTAATGTTGAAATTATAAGTGTTAATTTACACAATAAAAAGCTTAATTTATGTAGAGTTTATTGTTGTTGTTAAGTACCTTGTAGTCAGTTCTGATTCATAGTGACCCTGCACAGAGTTTCTGAGGCTGTAAATCTTTACGGGAACAGAAAGGAAAGTCTCATCTTTCTCCCACAGAACAGCTGGTAGTTTTGAACTGCTGACCTTGAGGTTAGCAGCCCAATTCGTAACCACTATGCTACCAGAACTCCTTTTAGAGTACATTGGCTATGATCAATTACATGGATCTTGAATGTTTCTATATTATCATTTAGTTACTTTTTAGTAAAGTAATGGTTATTGATTGGGGCATAATTAAGTGCTCTAAAAATCAGGCAAGATGTAGGCTGTGATTGTTAATGATAAATTAAAATACAGAAAGCATGCTTCTCTAACATTAAAACTGAAACATGCAACATATTTTCATTTGTCTGAAAAATCAATTTTTTTGTCTACTGAACTGCTGACTAGATAAAATGAAATTTGTAGTGTACCACAAAAATTTGTTTATCACAGATGAACAAGGAAATTAGGAGTAGACTTAGGGAGGTATGCATGAATAGAGGTAAACAGAGATGTATACACAACCTTTGAACAACAGGGCTCTGTGATTCAGGGATCTAGACATAGTCAGAATGGGTAAAGGAGGGGAAATAATGTTAAGGGGCTTGGCTGTCCTGTGAACATTGGTTTTCCCTGCCTTCTATTGTTAGACATTTAAGTGGGATAAAAAGGAATATTGAGAATTAAGATTACAGAAACTTGTAGACCTTTCTTCATCCTATCACTGATTAGATTAGCTTAAAGGGAACTTAGGTCTTGCCCAAGGAAATAGCCTTTGTGGAGTATGGGACCTTAGGTGGAATCCTGAGCCCCACTCAGAACTCTTAGAGGTGGTGCATTCCCACTTGAAAAGGCATGCAGACCAACTTGGACCAGATAAAAGAACAGAAGATGTTTACTGAAAGAAAGACCAGCAAAAAAATGGCAGACTGTTTGACTGTTAGAATATCAAGCATGCTGTTTGCCTTGGAGCCATCAAGTCAGTCCACCCAGATAATTCCTCTTCTAAGAATAAAACTCAAAGAGAATACAGAAGCAGTCTTATATGCTTGCTGATGACCACCGTGGCCTACTTTTGAGTGGAAATGGGGGAAATATAGCAATGAAAACACAGACTGAGTTTGATCATGTTCCATAGGCACCCATTGACCTTGAGATAAGAGAGAAAAGAGGAAGTGCTGGCTGGTCTGAAGTTTAGGGTGGTGTGTGAACTCCCATGCCGTTGGACACTGACTATCCACTGGAGACTGTAGCTAAGAGTAAAGCAGCCAGTTGGTCTGAAGTGTGGGGAGGCATGCGAGAATTCCCAAACTAGTAAATAGTACCCATTTGACATAGTTTGGATGGCTAGCTGACCAGAAATAGACCAGATGAAGATAAAGAAATTTGATACAGGGACCAAAAGTAAATTGCTATAATCTGGTGAATTGGATGTTGCTTATCAATGTAGTTACTCAAAATTCTAACCAAGAGTGAAGGGATATTCACATCAAGGATCAAGCCTGATCTTCACATCAAGGATCAAGCCTGTACCTTCAATACACAGGATTGACAGGGATGGGCAACTTAGACATTGGCTGTCAAAAATGGAGGGAATATAAAGACATGAAGTGGCTGGCTTACAAGTTTTCATGGGTGTGTTTAGTATCGGAATGAGGGGTTAGGGTAGAAACCTCACTGAAGAGATTTCTTCTTTTCCAGATGGGGCTGGTGAAAGGGCATGGAGGAGGATGGGGATAGGATTTTGTGATTCAATTATGTATAATTGTTATCAGAACTAATTATGATAGTCACAACTGTGAATGTAGATGATGTATAACTAAATGGGAGGAGTAATTAATCTTCCATTTAAGGAATAGAGGATCCTAGGACCAGCAAGTGGGAATAACATGAGTGGAGTGTGGGATCCTAACCAGAAAAGCAGAAACAGCAGAGATGGCATTAGAGGTGATGGAATAGAGAGAAAGAGCAGCTGAGGACTCTTAGGCCCATGGACTGAGAAAGGTTTTGTGCCTGTGGACAAGGGGCTGGCTTGCAGAATGTGCCCTTTGGACATTTAATCCAATATATATTTTCTGTTTTATATGTATGTATATATATATATATGGAAATAGAAGTAAATACTGCTGATTATTGGTACATGGAGGGTATTGTAATCATTGCAATGAAACAACAGATGATTTATTGAATGCAAAACTGATAATCTGTCCTGAAAGCTTTTACTCATAATCTGCCCTGTAAAATAACTTTTTTTAAAAAAAAGAAAAGAAATGTTTAATCTTTAATAAATAACTTTTTAAAAACATTAATTATTTTTATATAATACTATGAAAGCAAAGGGACAAATAAAAATTTACGTTACTATTGTATACAACTAAAGGGCTAAGTGGTGCCTTGGTGTGGCTCTGTTAAATAAGCTCTGGATTGCAATGTGGGTTAGAACCATGAGGTCGGTGGTTTAAACTCACAACTACTCTGTGGAAACCCTATACAGGGTCACTATGAGTTGGAACTGAGTCAATAGCACTTAACTACAACAACAACAAAGGGTTAAGCATTAGGATTTGTATTGATTAGATTTTATAAAATAAAACAACAACAAAAATTAATAAAAAAATTATAACAGTACTGATTTAGAACACCTGTTTGCTCAATGTCTTTAAAAGACTAATAAATTGATGTTCCTATTCAGTCATTTCCTTCCTTAGCACATGTTTTAACAAAAGAAATAAAACCACAATCTATTTTTTTAAATGCCAATTCAAAAGCATTTGACAGATCTTTATATTGAAAAGACTAGTGAATAAACATTCAAGTCAGGCAAATGATATACTCCTAAAGGAAGAGTAGAAAGAATATAAATAGTATTTGAAGAAATTCTTACATGATCTGAAGGGAAGGCTTTTGCTTCTAGAAGAATTTTATACCGCTTTGGTGTAGGCTTGAAAAATGTTAACTGCAATGAAATGGATTTATTAAAAAAAAAAAAAAAAAAAAAAAAAACATTATATCACAATTGATTCATTTGTTCATTTTATATCATACTTTCATTTTAACATTTTCAGAATTTTACAGATATTAATTAATTAAGAATCTATAATGTCTGTCAAGAGTACCTTGAAACTGAAATATCATGTTTTATGGAAATCACATTTATAAAGATTTATATTTTATTGCTAGTTTTGTTCCCATTATTGGTTTCTAGTTTTTAAAAAAATTATTCTGCAGGATTTTATTTTAGTTTCAACTGAAAACACTTCAGCCCTAACATGAGACAACTGCCATTTCTGAAGACACCAGGGACAAGTAGTCCTTTGTCTATTTAGCGGTTCCTGGTCAATAGGTATGACAATGTTAACAATAAAAGTGATTTAAGTTTAAGTGTAAGTAAATTCTGTGGAGTCCGTTCCAACTCATAGTGACCCTACACAGGGTTTCTGAGGCTGCAAATCTTTACAGGAGCAGAAAGCCTGATCTTTCTCCAGCAGAACAGCTGATAGTTTTGAACTGCCGACCTTGAGGTTAGCAGCCCGAGGTTAGAGCTCCTTAGCTCCTGTTAATTGTGACTTGATGGGCCAGGGCCCTAAAGCAATTTTCACACATTATCACATATAATCCTTTGTCAGGCCTATTATTATTGTTGGTAGTAGTGGTGGTTGTGGTGGCGTGCCATAGAGTGGGTTCCAACTCATAAGGACCCTGTATAGGGTTTCTGAGGTTGTAAATCTTGGCAGGAGCAGAAGATCTCATCTTTCTCCTGAGGAGTGCCTGCTAGATTTGCACTGTTAACCTTGCAGTTAGCTGTACAATTCATAAGTATTATCAAGTTAGTTTTAATTCATAGTGACCCTGCAGGGTTTCTGAGGAGCCTGGTGGGTTTGAACTGCTGACATTGTGGTTAGCAGCCTATTGCTTATTCTACAGTGCCACACAAGGTCTCCAGATCTATGGGTGTATTTTATCATCCTCATTCTGACAGAGTAGAAAATTAAGACTTAGAGCTGCTAAAAGTCTTGTGCAAAGTCAAGCAGACATTTAACTAGAAGTCAAACCCAGCAGTGCTTGCTTTAAAACTGCTGTGTAGCAACATATTTAAAATATTTCATAGGCATGTTCCTTCAGGCATTACTCAATAACCATTTCTCCACTTTATTCAAGTAAAATATCGATATCTTCAATGCACAACATATGCATGTAGACATGTTTCCAAAGCATACTTAAAAAGGAATCAAAGGTTTTCAAACCATCAAGTAATTAATACAGATAACATATTCCAAATCAAGAATGTATTTGACATTTTACGGTATAAATATTTATTGAATATTTAGGATGAAATAGATATTTTAAACATAGTAACTTGTTTAAAGCACTAGTTCCTTTGCTCAACATAAATTGCATTTTCCAACTTATTTTTAACCCACCACCAAAGTAATAATACACACAAACATATTGACCCAGGATCCTTAGTCTACTTAAGTCCAGTATTTTGGAAAGTTATTTTATAAAAAAAATATTGTTTTGATAGTACCTGTACATCATAGTTTTGTGTGTGTTCCTAGGCAGTTTTCCTTTCTGCTCAATATAATTTTTATTTTTTATGTTCTGAGATAAGCTAAAACTCTTTTGCAATAGTTAGCTCTCCTATGATTATAAAGAAGCATTATATCATAGTCTAGCATTTCCTGGTAAGAATGAAAATAACTTCACAACTTATTTAAAAATAAGTAAACCACCAGCTGCTCATGAATTAAAGATAGACATTATCATATTCTGTAAATGAGTGTATACTAAACATTGGTGGGAACGGAAACTTACCAGTAGAAGATGTAAATTAACGGTCAAACCATTCATTAGCACTATTTCTTCTTCATTGGCTCCTGTAAGGTAAACATCATAATTTAGATGTTTCTGTTAGTTCTAAAACAACTCCATTAGAGATACTTGAACAAACAAGGCAGGGAGGCTTCACTCTATCACCATTAATGTTTTTAGATATAAGACCATGTTTGATGTGTTATTTCACAAAGAAATGGGTTTTCCCACTTGACTCATTTTATAAAATGGTATCTGGACTCATACAAACACAGCTAGCTAAAAATTATATTTCCTTTTGATGTAGTAAATAATAACAACAACAAGAAAAATGAAGCACTTGTTTTTTTCTGTAAACTGAAACTGATGTATCCTGTTATCAGCTAGTTTGCCAAATTCCCAAGTGGTACATTTTTGCAGTAAGTATATCTCCAAAAGAGATCTGAAAAGATATTAAGGCCAATCACATTTTTAAAGCCAGTTGCTTGTAACGTCCAATTAAAATGCACCTGTAATAAAAGAAGGCTACATTGCCAAACATAATTCACTACTATTACAGTGAGATATATATAATAGTTTAAAAGACAAAAGAGCTAGGAAGCAAAATACAAAGATCTAAATAGCTCTGGGTTTATTCCTAACACTGAGATATAATTAAGATTGATGTATATTGTCTGATGGAGTACACATTCAACATTAAGATATCCACTATATAATCATAATAAGATGTAATTCCTTTTAATTAGTTTTGCCACTTGAAAAAGACTCAGAGAGACAGGATATATATTGGATATTTAGGAATTCAGAGCATAGCAACAGTGATAATAAGCCCTTACCTGTTTTAAGATCATTTGATGTCTCATAAATGAAATCAAACCCCAAAGCAAACCCACCTCCAACAAGTTGATTCCAACTCACAGCAACTCCATATAGGGTTTCGTAGATTGCAAATTTTAAAGGAGTTGATTGGCTCATCTTTCTCCTGTAGTCTGTTGGGTTTAAACTCTCTACATTTCTGTTAGCAGTCCAATGCCTAATCCACAGTACCACTTGAGCTGCTTCTTAAGCAAATAGACCCATGTAATAAGAATAATTCCTGTGGTACTACAGGATTAGCACTGGACTACTAACCACAAGGCCGGTGGTTCAAACCCAACAGTTGCTTCTCAGAAACAATAAGGGTCACTATGTGTTGGAACCTATTTGAAGGCACTTTACAACACCAACCATCACTGAGATAGACAAAAGAAAGGGTTATATGCTGTAAGCTGGATGGCATATAACTGACTGGATGGTACTGAACAACATCAGCATCTCATTCAAACCATTTAAGGAAGGAATGACATCTGCTATTGATGTGTGCCGTGGAGTCCATTCCAACTGATAGCAACTCTGTAAAGGGTTTCTGAGCGTGGCTGGTGGGTTTGAATTACTCATGCAGTGCTTACCCTACAGTGCTATACCAGAGCTCTGAATTATATCTAGTCAAGGAAAGTTTCTGCTTGTATGGTCTTATGTTTTCTCTCCATTCGATATAAAAGGTTAAGAAATGAGCAGTGGATGTTAAAGAGATAGTCTTAATCATTTTAAGGTGAACAGTGTCTGAAGTCAAAGAACAAACTCTCTTTCCACATTCCTAGCAATAAGTAGAAACTTTCCTGGACACACTAGAGAGATATGACTGTGATAAGAGTGTAATGCATACAGCATATTTCTTTTCTACTATAATGGAAATCGTCTGAAATCCGGTAAGCAAAAAATAACAATGTACCACCAGTTTTATTATATTTGTTTCTCTGCATTGTTGTGAGGTTTTACTGTCATTTCTAAAACATCTAACATGATCTGTTCCTTGATTTCCTGTTCGTTTTCAGTAATAAGTAAAAAGCAACTGAATCCATTTATTTCTAAAGAAATTTTTATTAGAGGGCATGAAAGAAAGAACAATTAATACACAAAGAGAGACTTAATAGAAAGAGACAAATCTACGGTAATATACTGAGGAGGATGAAACAGAACAAGAAAAGGAAAAACCTGAGTTAGTTATCCTAAAAGCAAAGAAATTAATGGAAGAGTCAGGGAGGAGAGAGACTTCTTCTTAACACAAGTTCAAGCACAACATTTTTCCTTAAACATTTCATTCTAATTGAAACAAGTATAGGCTCCTAGGAAATTGTATATACAGCTAAAGAGATCTATGGGGTCCTGGCACTGTTGTTGCTGTTGCCTTTCAGTCATTCCAACTCATAGTGACCTTTGACACAATAGAACTTTCACAAGCATATGAAACTACTGAAAATACCATGGTTTGGATTAGGCCTCAAAGTGACATTTTTGCTCTTGAATGCTTTAAAGACTTATTGTACTTGCCTAGCACAGTATGTTGTTTGATTTCTTGACTGCTGCTTTTGTGAGTGTTGAAAGTGGATCCCAAAACATAAAATCTTTGACAAGTTCAGTTTTTCTCCATTTATGATGATGCTATTTATAGGTCCAATGGTAAAGATTTTCATTTACTTTACATTGTGGTGCAACCAATACTTTGAACTTCATCAGTAGGTTTTAAGGACTATCTACTTTCAGCAACAATATTGTATCATCTGCATATCACAAGTTGTTAACAAGTCTTCCTCCAACTGATTCTGCCACGTTCTTCATATAATCCATTATTTGCTCAGCATACAGATTGAATAACTATGGTGAACGAATACAACTCTAGCTCACTTTTCCTCATTTTAAGCCATTCAATATCCCCTTGCTTTGTTTGAACAACTGCCTCTTGGTCTATGCACAGGTACCTCATAAGCACAATTAAATGTTCTAGAATATGCATTATCCACAATGTTGTCCATAGCTTGTCATGACCCTCACAGCTGAAAGCCTCTGCATAGTCAGTAAAGCACAAGTAAATATCTTTCAGGTATTCTCTGCTTTCAGCCAAGATCCATCTGACATCAGCAATTATATGCCTCATTCAAAGTCCTTGCTTGAATCTGGCTGAAGCTGCGACAATTCCTTTTCAATGTACTATTGCAGCCGTTTTTAAATCACAATTAGCAAAATTTTACTTGCATGTTATAGTAAGCATATTAGATGATTTCTGCATTTGGTTGGATCACCTTCTTTGAAATAGGTGCAAATACGGATTTTTTCTAATCTGTTGGCCAGACAGCAATCTTTCAAATTTCTTTGCATAGATGAATGAGTGCTTCCAGTGCCATATCAGTTTATTGAAAGGTTTCAATTTGAATTCCATCAATTCTTCCTTCAGTATTATTGGTCTTGATCATATGTTACCTCTTGAAGTTACTGAACAGTAACTGTATATTCTTTTCATCTTCTTTTGATGCTTTCCGTATCATTCAATATATTGCCAAAGAATCCTTCAGTATTTTAAGTTGAGATTTGAATTTTTTCTCCAGTTCTTTAAGCTTGAGAAATGCTGAGCGTGTTTTTCCCTTTTGCTTTTCTAACTCCGGGCCTTTGAACATTTTATTATATAATGTTTGACTTTGTCTTCTCAAGCTGCCCTTTGAAATTTTCTGTTCAGCTCTTTTACTTCCCCATGTCTTCCATTTGTTTTAGCTTCTCTAAACTCAAAAGCAACTGTCAGGACTTCCAGTTTGCCAGGGTGGCCAGGCGGTGCCGGTGAATGGGGGCTCCGGGATTGGGGGGGTGGACAACTCGCGAGTTAAACCTCACAGGTAGGAAATCACAGTCTTACAGCCCGCATGAATCTCAGTGCGCCAGAGCCTTAGACCCGCTTCTTTGAGAAATCACTGTGCAAGAAATTACAGGCTTCTTAAAATTGCGCCGTGGCAGCCCCAGCTCCTTTGGGCTTGAGGGGGTGGGGCGGGAACTAGCTCGTGCGGAGCCTCCAGTAGCTGGGAGACTCAAACAGGGAGAGCCACTGGTGACACCTACCCCAAGGTAGGATTTCTGCGCATACAGTGGACAGAGGTAAGTTAGTTTAAAAGGGAAAACAAAAACAAAAAAAGCCTGCAGGAAAAGAGAAGCGGCGACTGTCTGACATCATCAGGCGTGGACTGTGCCTGTCTGAGCCACTTCTGCCCTGCCCAGTTGACCCGTGTCTGCCAGCCAGCGGACCCCACACTCCAGCACAGTCCAACCGTGTTCCTGGGGCACGCCGGGCGCGCGCACACACAGGCGAGCAGCTCCCCTCCTGCCCGAGCCATGTATCGCGGGCCTGCCAGACGCGCGAAAGCGAGCGACCCGCCTCCCGCTGAACCGAGCAGCGTCCCTCAGCCCTGCTGGGCGTGCGCCAGCAAACAGCTCACCTCACGCTCAACTGAACCGCGGGGCGCGGGGGCAGGCAGCCCCCCTCCTGCCG